AGAGCACACAAGTAGCTGGGCCCCAAAAAAGAACTAACCCTTCCACCATCTTATAAACCCTTGTCCCCGCCCCTCTAATTGGGAGCTACCATTCCCCTCTGGGTATAAGGGTACCACCCTACCATAAGGGAAAAAAAAAGGCAATAAATATAAATAAGGACTCTACGTAGGTCCCACATGTGCGCGCCCATCTGCTTCCACCCTTGCCGATCCTGCAAACAAAAACCTTGGGAGAAAGATATCAAAACAATTCATTGTTGTGGTAAAATGCCACTGTCCCCTTAAAATAGTGAGGACGGTTCCATACACGCGGCCTCACACAAGACCAATATATATATTAGTAATGTGTATGGAAAGTAACATAATAGCAATAGCAATGTATGGTATGTTTATAACTGCTCATCTTATGACCAATATATATATTCCACAAACTAGATCAGACCAGATATATATATATATATGTGCATATATATGTGTGTGTGTGTGTATATATATATATATATATATATATATATATATATATATATATATAATTTCTCTAGCGTATAAATGAACAAAAACATACTTAAATTCCGCTGTAACACACAGTTTGGTAACGTGTTTCCTGTGGAGCTCCACTTTACGTCCGTAAAGATGAGATCCACTTTACGCCCCTTAAAATCACGTATTTCCTGTGGAGGTGACGTATTTCCGGTGGAGCTCCACTCTACACTCTAGTCTGCAGCTAGACCCTTCTCTAAATGTGTGCTGTTTTTCTCTCCCAACACAGGTTAGTAAATATCTGGGTTTAATACTCATACAGTATATGCCCAATATCAGGTGTAAATACCATCCCTATTTATTGTGTTTTATTAATCTGTACCGAGTTGTGGTTTAAAGCCAGAAAAATATCTTGTTTTTCAGGAAATGCTAAACGCTGGTTAGCGGTTACAAGCCATCCGCTTCTGTATAAGTATGGTTAGCTGGGCGCGGACCACAAAGGACCACGATATAATGCAGCCTTTAAATTAACGGGTTTATTCCTCAACATGCAAACTTATATCTGTGTTCGTTTTGTACGCCTCGTTGATTGTACCATCTGTAGTGTAGGTTTATTTTATCCTTTGTGAATGAGTCAGTGCGAGAAAGTAACGCGGCCCCAATTCGGTGTCTCTCTCTCTCTCTATTTAAATATATAATTTATGCTGTCAAACGATAAAAAAATTTCATCAGATTAATCACAGGGTTGCTGTGGATTAATTTCAATTAATCACGTTTAAATATCATTCATTTTTAAGTAGTACTGTTTTAAGAAGTAGTGCTTAAACAGTATAAAACTACAACTTTCCCTACTGTTGATAAAGGGTGCAGCCATCTTGTATTCTGAACTCGGGATCCTCTGTGCTGCTCCGAGATATTTCTCAGATCTCTGAGAAACGAGAGCGCGCATGTCGTCACTTCGGGCTTCAAAACTACAGAATCGGACTTGGAATACGAGTTCCGAGGCCAAATGGAATGCACCAAAACTGCCCGAAATGGGTTGACAGAGACATTTCAGGGATTTTGAGTCATTCTCCGCTGCAGATGGGTTAGTTGCGTTAAAAATTTTAATCAGATTAATCATGATAATGGATTAATCTGCGTTAACCCGTTAATTTTGACAGCACTAATACACTCACCTAAAGGATTATTAGGAACACCATACTAATACGGTGTTTGACCCCCTTTCGCCTTCAAAACTGCCTTAATTCTACGTGGCATTGATTCAACAAGGTGCTGAAAGCATTCTTTAGAAATGTTGGCCCATATTGA